ATGCACAAACAATGAATCATGGAACACTTCATCTAAAACTAATGATGTAATGTATGGGGATTAACATAAGAATAAAAAATAAAAAAATAATAAAAATAAATAAAAATAAAATAAAATAAAATTTTTAAAAAAATAAAATGTAAGCTGCTAAGGGGATTTTCATTATCACAATTTTGATATTCAGAAAGAACATTCAATTCATAGCACAATATTTGTTAAATTTATATACAGACAAGGCATAATGAAAGAAAACTTGGATCTAGAATTTTTAAAAACTGGTTTTGTATCCCAACTTTGCCATGGGACCTTGGTGAAGTCCCTTGTTCCTTCAGGTCCAGTTTCCTCATCTGTGAAACAGAGATTCTTTATTTCAGTTACTGAGCATGTAATCTTGTGCCAGTCATTGCACTAAGAACTGAGGATTCCAGACTCTGTATGAAAACAAAATTCATTGACCTGTAGATGCCACAGGAAAAGTGAAAGCAATATACAATAGAAAAAAAGGGAATGATTCATCCTACCCGAGTGACCGACTGTTACACCATGTCTTAAAGAGGAGAAAGATTTTTGCCAAGTTGCCTAGTTTAGAATACCACAGGCAGAAAAAATGGCATGTGCAAAGGCGAGAAAACAAAACTCAACAGAATATGACTTCGAGTAAATTGCAGATAGTTTGCAGGTAAATAGATTAGAAAAGGTGGGAAGGATGACCAATGATACTGAAGACAGAAACAAGGGGCAAAACATGGATAGTTTGGATGTTACACTAAAAAGTTCATGCTTTATCACACATGAGGAGACCGGGTCTTTAAAGGGAGAGATATCATCAGATCTGTAGAGCTACAATAGCATTTTTACACAGTGTTTTGCTGGGGACTGTGACTGAAGGAAAGAGGATGAGTAGGAAATTGTTATAAAAGTTCACCCCCCACCCCACATCCTGTAGCCACTACCTCAGATGCCTTCTCAGCACAGCACTCTAGGAAGACACGGAGTTGATGAATGAGACAAAACCTATTTGGCACCCCTGTCCTGGAATAATACTAATACTGCCTTTGAGATGATATGAGAAATAAAATATTACCATTATTATTTATTATTTTGTTATTATATTATTTGTATTTTTAGTATTATTAGTTTGCTTATATAGTAACTAGAGAGTATCAAGCAAAAGAACTGTGCAAGAAAAAAAAATCATTCTTTGCCAAAACAACTAACCATGTCTCTATACTGATCTCCACAGATTTCCAATCTGGGTCCCTAAGGGTACCTAGATGATCTTTCTGAACATGTTTATCTTACTCTCCCACTTAAAATCCTGCAATCTCTTCCCATTGCTCTCTTCCCACTGTGTCTTCCCATAGAGATCAAAATTCGTAACATGGTCCCAAAGTCCTGCATAATCTGGCCTCAAACTACCTACAGAGCCTCATCCTAGAAGCAGGATAACAGGCTTTGAAGTCTGACTACCTAGATTTGAATCTAGTCTGCCATTTATGACCTGTGATCCCTGGGTGATCCCTGGTAAACTGCTTGACTTCTTTGTACTTTGGTTTCCTCATCTGTAAAATGGGGATAATAATATGGTTAGAATGGTGCCTGGCACAATCTAAGGACATATAAATATCAGTAAGTTAATATTTATAATGTCACAAGTTATTATGATATAATATATACTACATGTTGATATATAAATACTATTAGTGTTGTTACGATCAACATTGCCACCATCACCATTTTCATACGTTTTCTGTTCCAGGCCCACTGGTCTTGCAGTTCTTCAAAAGAAACACCCATCTTTCCAACTCAGGGCTTTCCTATATGCTGATCCCTCTGTCTAGAACACTCTCTGTGTCTTTGCCCAGTCAATTCCTTCTTCATAATTCAGCTTAAACATCCTTCCCTCGGGGAAGCCTTCCTTACCCAGGCTCTGCTCCCACCCAAAACTAGGTCAGGGCGCCTGGGTGGCTCAGTTGGTTAAGCAACTGCTTTCGGCTCAGGTCATGATCCTGGAGTCCCTGGATCGAGTCCCGCATCGGGCTCTCTGCTTGGCAGGGAGCCTGCTTCTCCCTCTGACCCTCCCCCCTCTCATGTGCTCTCTCTCTCTCATTCTCTCTGTCTCAAATAAATAAATAAAATCTTTTTAAAAAAAAACTAGGTCAGATTCCCCACTTTAGGCTTTTCTTGCAGAGCACTTGTCATAGTCTGTAATTATATATATTATTTGATCAATTACTTGTGTAATGTCTATCTTCCCTACTAACCTATAAGCCCAATGAGTGGAGGGACTAAACTGACTCCTTGATCCCCTGGCATAGAACAGAACACAAATACTTACAGAATAAAAGGAAACTACTGTCAGATACAAGAAAATTAAAAAAAAAAAAAAAAGTACCAAGTACAGAAAAATGGTAATACATATTACTTTCTTTTTACAAAAAGAAATATACAGTTACCAAGACCTTTTCTCATTTAAAGAGGAGAAAAACTGATTTACTCATATAATGGGGAAAAAACTGGGGTTGTTTTAACATACAAGCCAGAAACTGCTTAACTAAAAATCTGAATTCACCAGATAGAAAAGAATAAAAAAAAAATTTTTAATAAAATGAAATGCTTACTTGAGCATTGTCAGGTTCTTCTTTAATTTTGTCCAGAAGCCCCTGCTGTGGTGCCATTGCTTTGCCACATTCACCATCCAAAGGTTCTTTCATTCTAATTTTTTATGTAAAGGAATTCCCCAGTCTAAAACTAACAGATTTCTTCTTGGTAAAGGATAGCTGGACTCCTAAAATACAACATAAAGGATTGGTACTCAGGTTTATTCTTTTTATTTTCTCCTTCATGTTTATCTATCTTAAAAGCTTTGTATTGAGCACAAGGCTTCAGAGTTGAGCCTTTGAAAATCAACTCTTCCGGGGCCATGACTAACTCTATACTCCCCTCTTCCTGCCTTCTGTTCCTTTAATAGTTATCTTCACATAAGAAAAGTCTTCCAGGGGCACCCAGGTGGATCAGTCAGTTAAGCAGCCAACTCTTGAATTTGCTCATGATCTCAGGGTCCTGGGATAGAGCCCCACCAGGACTCCCAAGGGCTCAGGGCTGGGTGTGGAGACCTGCTCAAGAGTCTCTCTACCTACCTCTCTTCCCCTCTCTCTGTAAAAAAAAATAGATAAAATAAAATAAGAAAAGTCTTCTGGAAAAAGCTCCCACCTCCCTAATAACTTTAAAGACAAACACTCTGGTCTCTCAAATGGTGAAACTTACAGGGGGTACCAGACCAGCTGGGCAAGATGTGGGAAGAAGTTACCTAGCACTTAGGGGGAAGGGCTCAGAAATACAGTTTCTGACTCCGGGAGAATTAGTACTTGGAGGCCCACCTCAACTTTTATTTCTCAAAGTGGGGTACACCGAGCTCCCCACCCCCACCTCTAATTCAGCCTTTACTGGAGGCCTCCATAAGGGCCCCATTTCTTGGCCTAACGATAGATCAGAGCTCCAGATGCCACCACCAGTGAACAAGTACGCCCTTGTTTAAAGTGGACGACCTGAACTTTCTAGGGTCTCCCTGGGGGCCATGCCCACGAATAAGCCCCTCTTGAGCTCTGCTTCTCAATCGCTTCCCTGTAAACAAGAAACTCTATTAGCCATCCAACAGATTTCCCTTCCCCTAAGAGTAAGCGTACTAAACCTGAAGCAAAAAGGAAGCTCCCCAAAGTTGTCCTTATCCGAATAGTCAAGCCAGGCAGGGAAATGGGCAACTGGTGGAAAAGCCTGTGGGGAAGAAGAGATGAGAACTTCTGACCACTTGCCACAGTTACAACAATCTACGGGTGCTCATCCCTCCTTCGAGTATGGTATCGCTGCGAAAGTCTCGTCCCCACCAATAATCTCCGCGCCCGTCACCGAGTACAAACACGGCAACGTTGCATCTGATGGGGAGAACGCTAGTCGCAAATCCCTGTCACTGCGTCCCTGCGGCGAAATGCGCACGGCGTCAGCCGCGCAGCCCTCCCGGCGCCGCCCTCGCCCGGTGCCCGCCTCGTCACGTGGCGCGCCTGCCGCCCCGCCCCGCGCAGACCCTGCAGCAGCCAGCCGCTGCGCTCACCTTCCGATTGCCTCCCTGCTCCCAGGGAGTACCGGGTGGGTAAGGAGGCCTAGGACCCAAGGCTCCCCACGCCGGGACGAGGATTATTTTCTCTTACTGGAATTCTTCCGCCTGATCCATCGCAAAGCAACACCAGGCCAACCGCGCGTGCGCAGCCCTGGTCTCCGCCCCTCCTTTTCCCGTCATGCTCTGGACCTGAGCTGAGTGGATCTTCCCAGGATTCCTCTTTCCTTAGTTATGGTTGACTTCTTAAAGAGACCAAGACACAAAGGTGAAAAGGTAGAAGAAGGGGTTTGGGGCAGAAAGTTGGGGGCATTAGATAGTCTGCACTATGCTTTAATTCCCATTTCCAGAAAAATAGCCTACTAAGGAACATACGAATAAATAATGGCTGACATTTATTAAGCTCTGTGCTTGCTAAACACTTGACATGCATCATTCCACTTAATCCTCACCACAACCCCAAGAGGTACAAATTTTTATCTCAGAGATGTAAATGACTAGATTAATTAACTTGTTCAAAGCCAAGATTTGGTATTTTTCACTCAGAATTGGTTTTTGATTTGTGACTGCTGTATAATATTCCATTTTATGAATATGCTACAATTTAACTATCTACTATTGATGTACATTTGAGATATTTCCAGGTTTGGGCTATTAGAAATAATGCTGCTGTGAACTTTCCTGTCTTTTGTTGCACATATGCTGGGTTCATACCTAGCAATGAACGTGCTTGTTATGTATATATAAAATTTAAGTGGATAATGTCAAGAACTTTCAGAAAGTGGTTTTTCAGTTGCACTCCCACCAGCCATCTATGAGAGATCCAATTGCCCCACATCCTTGCCAATAACTACCACTGTACATCTTTTTAATTTTAACCATTCTGGTAGGGGTATAGTGGTATCTCATTGTGGCATTTTTTGTTTGTTGGGTTTTTAAAGATTTTATTTTAACGTAATCTCTACAGCCAACATGGGGCCCAAACTCACCACCCAGAAATCAAGAATCTCTCTCTCCAACGACTGAGCCAGCCAGTTGCCCCTCATTGTGGTTTTAATTTGGTTTTCCCAGATTTCTAATGAGATTGAGCCCATTTTTATGTTTTTGGATATCTGGATATACTCTTTTATGAAGTGCCTGTTCAAGTCTCTTACCCATTTTTGTATTGGATTGTCTGCCATTTTATTATGGACATATATTCTAGATATGAGTTCTTTGTTGTGTATATGATTGTAAATATCTTCTCCCACTCAGTGGCCAGGATTTCCCTTATTATTGGTGTCTTTAACAAACATAAAAGACCTTTATGCTTAGTGCTTCTTGCGTCCTGTTAAGAAATATTTTCCTACCAAAGGTCCTGATTAATTTCTGGGATTGTAATTACTTTGTCTTTCTCATTTAGCTCTTCAATCCACTTGAAGTGGGGATTTGTGTATCATGTGAGGTAAGTCAGGTTTCATTTTTTACATATGAATGTTAAATTAAGTACTATTTTTGAAAGTCTGTCCTTCCCCTATTGCTCTGTATTGTCACCTTTGCATAAATAAGTTGTCTATAAATGTGTGGATTTGTTTCAGGACTATGTAAACTATTCATTTTGTCTCTCTTTGTGGAAATATCACACTCTCTTAATTTCTGTGACAGCTTTACAGTAAATCTTGGTATCTGGTAGAAAAAAGTCTTCCTTCCCATTATGCTCTTCAAAATTGTCTTGGCTCTTCTTGGTCCTTTGCATATTCATATAAATTTTTTTTAAGATTTTATTTTTGGGATGCCTGGGTGGCTCAGTCATTAGGCGTCTGCCTTCAGCTCGGGTTGTGATCCCAGGGTCCTGAGATCGAGCTCCATATCAGGCTCTCCACTCCGCAGGAAGCCTGCTTCTCCCTCTCCCACTCCCCATGCTTGTGTTCCCTCTCTCGCTGTGTCTCTGTCTGTCAAATAAATAAATAATATCTACACCCAATGTGGGGCTCTAACTCAGAACCCCGAGATCAAGAGTCACATGCTCCACTGACTGAGCCAGCCAGGCACCCCCATATAAATTTTAGAATCTACTTGCCAAATGTAACCAAATTTTGCTCATATATTGTAGAATCAGCCAGAATTTTGTTTAGTATTGCACTGAAACTATAGACCTGTTTTGGAGAATTGGCATTTGTTACTCATTGTGTTGAATTGGGTCCCCCAAAAAGATATGGTGACCTCAGGAAATAACGTTGTTGCAGATGTAATTAGTTTAGACATGGTCATATTGGAATAGGGCTGACCCTTAATCCAATATAACTCATGTCCTTATAAAAAGAGGAGATGTAGAGACAGGCACCTGTGGAAAGGACATCAGGTGACAATTGAGGCAGAAATTGAAGTACTGCAGCTGCAAGCCAAGGAATGCCAAGGATTAATGGCAAACACCAGAAGCTAGAAGAGGCAAGGAAGGATTCTCCCATTCACATTTCAGAGAGAAGAAAGCTCCGCTGATACCTTGATTTTAGACTTCAAACCTCTAGAACTGTAAGACAATAAATTTCTGTTTGTAACATTTTCTTACAGCAGGCCCAGGAAACTAATATGGTTGAATCTTCCAATCCATGAAAATAGTATACCTCTCCATTTGTTTCTGTAATTTCTCTTGATAATGTTTTATAGTTTTTAAATATAGAGATTGCATATCTTTTTTAGATTTGTTCTAGATCTTTGATATCTTGTATTTTTTTAAAGATTTACCCATTTATTTGAGAGAGAGAGAGCAGGGGGAGAGGCAGAAGGAGAGACTCTCCAGGCAGACCCCCTGCTGAGCATGGAGCCCTATGCGGGGCTTGATCCCACGACCCATGAGACCTGAGCTGAAACCAAGAGTCAGACACCCAACCGACTGAGTCCCCCAGGTGCCCCTTTTATGGTATTTTAAAGGGTAAGATTTCATTTTCTAATTGTTTATTTCCAGTATAAATATAGAAATATAATTGACTTTTGTATGTTGGTTTTGAAGCCAGCACCCTTGCTAAATTCATTTATTAATTCTAATAGTTTATCCATATTTGTAAAAATTTTCTAAGTTTTCGGCTGTATAGAGAATAATGACAAATTTATCTCTTCCTTTCTAAGCGTATAATTTTTATCCCATTTTCTTGCCTTAATGGAAATGGTGGTATTGGGCATCTGTATCTACTTCCTGCTATGTTGTTTTCAATATAAAATCATTAAATATTAAATTTGCTTTAGAATTTTTGCAGTCACCTGTGGGGGATTAAATATGGCAAATTCTTTGCAACTTCTTTCATTAAGAGAGGGAGTCTTTTTCCTTATCCCTTGTTTCTTGGCTGGCTTTATGATTTATTTTTACTATTAGAATGTGACAGAAGTGATATCCTGTAAATTCCCAAACATAGGTCTCAATAGTTTTTGCAGCTTCTGCTTTGACTTTCTTAGAACACTCTCACCACCATGTCAATATTAGATGGGTTAAACTACTAAATGATGAAAAACCACGTGCAGAAAGTAGCCCTATAGCCAGCACCAAGGCCCCATACGTATGAGTGGAACCATTTTAGATCCTCCAGATTGATAGATGACTGCAGCCTCATGAGTGAGCCCAGTCAAGATAAGCAGAAGAATTACCCAGCTAAGCCCAAATTATAGAGTCATGAATGAATAAACGGTTCTTATCATAAGCTAGTAAGTTTGGGGTGCTTTTTTATTTAGCAGTAGATAACTGTTACAGAATTGATATCTAAAAATGGAGTACTGCCATAACTAAAATCTAAAACATGTGACATTGACTTTGGGACCAGGCAGCCAGCAGAGTCTGGAAAGACAAGAAGTCTGTTATTGGAGGCCAGAAGAGCAGTGAGGAAATTGTTATTGGAGGCTGGAGGAAGACTAACCAGTGTAATGCAGTGGCAAAATATTTTGCAGCACTGCCACCTATAAAAACATGGAAAATAGAAAATGTAATTAGTGAACTTGTAGATCTGGCTTAGGAGATTTCTGGGCAGAATATATAAAGTGCTTATTGATTTATTTTACTCACCTATGATAAGGCTTTGCAAAAGATAAACAAGTTAAAGAAGGAACTTTTGTTTTCAAGCAGAAATTAGACAAAATATGGAGGGTCCAAGTCTCTCCAGCTAGCAAAATATCATCAAAATAAGAAACAAATCTCAGAAGAAAAATCACATATAGGACATTACAGGTAAAATGTGGCCTTAGGTCAAGATCAACTCAAGAGTGCAGCTGTAATCTTTAAAAAAAAAAGAGTGCAGCTGTAAGACCTCAAAAGGAGTTAAACAGTGCCTCATAGACCCTCTCATCTAGACAGAAGGGCTTCTAAGAAACAAGGGCATTGTCCCATAGCAATCTGACACACCCAGAGTAGAGAGAGTTCTGTCTCAGAAAGAAGAATGGAGGTGGTGGGGCGCCTGGGTGGCTCAGTCGTTAAGTGTCTGCCTTTGGCTCAGGTCATGATCCCAGGGTCCTGGGATCAAGCCCCACATCGTACTCCCTGCTCAGCAGAAAGCCTGTTTCTCCCTCTCCTAATCCCCCTGCTTTGTATTCCCTCTCTCACTGTGTCTCTCTGTGTCAAATAAATAAATAAAATCTTTAAAAAAAAAGAATGGAGGTGGTTTGGGGGTCACAGAGTGAATCCCAGTAAGATCCATGAAG